GTCGTAAATCAAATACCGATGATCGTACTGTGAAATACTGTGGCTAATAAGACAGTGGCGCCCCTAAGTGGTGGCCGGGGCAGGAAGTACATAGCCTAGAACACGGTAGTTCCCGAGATCGGGGTCTCCTGAGTAGCTGCGAGGAGAACTATTTTGGCACACCGCCCTCAAATATTCACTAGCCACACCAGGCTAGCTACTGTGACAGCGATATGTTTAAACATTAGCAACGGAGTGGAGTCAGATCCGATTTCTAGACCTAAAAAATACAAACCCCCCCGCAGGCGGCGACACCGGAGACCAACCTCCGTCACATTTGTGTATCTGTGCGTTTGTTTGTGCGCGGTTTTGCATCCACATTTGACTGAGGTAGAGTCAGGACTCTTCCCGTGACACGTGATCTCGCTGCAGGTGAAGTCGGGCGACGCATTCCATTAACTCCAGATCTGGTCGGACAGGACTGGGGCTCCGCTCCGCTCCCTGTCGCAGTTCAGGGCTGCTTTCTTTCTGAGAAAATATTAGGGGGGAAAAAAACCATCTTGATACTGTGTGTGTGTGTGTGTTTTAGAAAGAGAGAGGGGGGAGGAGGGGGGGGGCAGGTACCAGGGCAGAAGAGGAAGAAAAAGAAGGGTGTGTCTGGGAATAGAGCAGAGCAGGATAATAGACGGGGCTTAAACACTGGATCTGACTGGATCTGTTTACACCCCACAGACATAAGTCAGACGAGTCGATGACTGACTCCTCCACTGCTCCACCGCTCGGTCACTGCAGCGAACGCCACTTCTCACTGGCCAATAGTTTCCTGTTTACCTTGGGATAGGTTTTTTTGTTCGTTTTTTTTTGTTTGTTTGTTTCTTGCGCAAGTCGTCACGTAGCTTCCTGTCATTTCATTTTTTTATTTTTTTATGATTATAACATGAGCAAATCATATCCAATATTTTATGGTTTCAGAGACAAGAGCTGTCCTTCATTTCCTCTGAACCATGACCCCCCCCCTCCTCCT